ATCAGATAAACAGCACAGTGACAGACATGAAGGCAGCAGATCTCACGTAACGTTCATGAGAAATACTCAAGTAAGAACTTTCCCAATGATTATTTGATGTGTTTGTTGTTGAGTCGATGAGAACGATGAGTCACACACAATGTTGTTACAAAGTTCACACACACACACAGACACGTGCACACACACACAGGTTAATAGCCAAAATACAAAATAACTCTAATTTAATGTCCACAAAACGAGATTGAAGCATCTTCTTTTATAATTGTACAGACACGCGGCTGTGGTAATGAATAACAGCGATTTGACTGTATTTATTACAAACATGTACTGTTTTAAAAACATTTTAAACTTGTGAAACTCACTCTTGATCACATTTGATGATGATTAATGATCACAGAGAGCTGAACAGATCCTTTAATCCCAGTTGCTTTGCGCACGTCCTGTCTTGTTGATATGATCATACGCATTACTATGGAGACGTGTTAATATGCGGCTGTCAATCAATTCTGTGGGCGGGGAAACCACACTCCATGTTGTGGTGGACCTGAAAATGTGAGGGATTTTGATCCTATTTTAACGTCAGGAAATAAAAAAAAAGAGACTTATTGTGTTTATATCACTCCAGTATAACTGCGGACACACTATACTTACACACACTTCTGTCCAAACAGCTTACAGAAGATGATTTGCATCATAGGTGCCCTTTAAAGTGTACTTATTTTTCTCAAAGGAATTAGGGTGTGCTCACACGCGATGAAATAATCCACCCCTGAGCTCGTTCACCCCCAGAAGTCTGGCTGTTTTGACTAGCATGATCGTGCCAAAACTGGGCTGTGTTTTAATACAAACACTTGAATCATAAATGACGCAACCTAATGCTAAAGTGCAGCGTGCACAAGAAAACCTTGTGCCCACACCCTTAAGTGCTTCTCCAGACCAACTACACTTTATTCATCAGTACAGCACAAAAGGAGATTATTTACATGTAGAGATGAAAATGGCAAAGATTTGATAAGAACTATTATAAACAGATTATCTGTGCATTTATATGGAGACATATTGTGCTCATTTTTAAGATGTCAAATGCGTCTCTGCTGTCTCTAGAGTGTGTAGTAAAGTTTGAGCTCAAAATAGCACACTAATGTTCCCTAACTCTCTGAAACTGACCCTTTTAGGCTTTGATCCTAATTTTGGTGTTTTGGTGATGCACTCTAAAAAATAACTCAAGAGGTCTGTTACCAATACATAGTTTAATACATTATTGTAACTTAAAAATTTTAAAATGCTGATTAGATTAAAACTTTTAAGTTGCCAGAATAATTTTATTAAGTTTTCAAAACAGGAAAATCTTGATAATTACATCAATTTAAAAATGCAGGTAATTTAAAGTGAAATGCATCTGTCAGTTGCTTTAAAACAATATTTAACTTGTAGCAACCCAAAGAAACGAGGCTGATAACTCACACTAATGGAGTTGTTTTGTATTTTTAAGTCCACACACTAATGTTTTTTGTTATTTGTTACACTGATAATATGGGATAGTACATGTTTTTGTTTTGTAAAATGATGAAAACCTGTGGTTTAATAAAAATAAAAAAACTACCGAAAAACAAAAATGTTGTTGTTAAATGTTTTTCCTACAAGTATAAACAGTAAATTTAAAAACAAACAAAAAGTTTAGCTACTTAATTTATTTGGGGTTCTAAACTTGAAAATGTGCACGTAATTAAGTACATAACACAACACTGGATTTGTTTTCAATTTTAAAGTAAAAAACTAGTTGAAACAACATTTTTGATTACTTAACTTTGTTTATGTAAAAATGCCTCTGATTGAAGAGGAAAATATTTGGCTAACATAATAAAGTTTGTTGTCTGAACCTCATTTTGTCAAATGTTGTCGTAACTTCAATATATTAATGCAAACTGTTGCGTTAATTTTTTTGTTTTGTCTAAACAATATTTTTTAGAGTGCTGTCGCTTTAAATGTAAATGAGATTGGGCTCTTTTTAAAAGAGGGACAGAGCTACAAATGCCCATGTGTCAGCATAGTGGCAGATTAAAGACAGGACTAGCATTCTCAGAGCTGGTCAGGTGTGCATGTGTGCTTCATGCTTCTGTCAGTCCGTGGAGACTCCTGTCGCTGTTCATTTGTGCTTCATCTAAAAAAAACTCCACATCTATAATCCTCTTAGTCTACAGTGTATCCGGAAAGTATTGACAGCGCTTCACGTTTTCCACATGTGTTTATGTTACAGTCTTATTCCAAAATGGATTAGATAAATTGATTTCCTCAACATTTTACACACAATCCCCCATAATGACAATGTGAAAAAGAGTTTTAGAAATTGTTGCAAATTTAATACAAATAAAAGGCTGATAAATCACATGCTATCAATACTTTCCAGATGCTCTGTAAGCTGACATTATCTTCAGCAGCTCAAACATTCTAATGGCTGATGGACAGACGGCTGCTTCTCACTCAGGGCTGCTGTTTATGCTAATGAGGGAGAGATGGGCACTAGTGGGCGGGGCTTTTCCCCTCTGATGGAATCATATAAAGGGAGAATGTCAATCACAGTGTTTCTTTTTTATCAAGTCTGATTATAAAACATGTAATTAATTCTCCTTTACCATTAGAGGCTGGAGATATTCACACACTGCTGACACACAACTGGGATTAAACCCCTTATAAGAGGGATTTTTGTATAACAGGTGCCCTTTAAGACTCTGAAGTCATACAATAGCTTTTAGTCTGAAATTTAAATCATTCTCTGTCAAATATAAGTCTCTCAACAATTGAATAGTTTTTATAGCGCGTCACTTTCCACTGAGATCATCCTCACACAGCACGGGGAACTCAATGTGTGTGTGTGTGTGTGTGTGTTTTGTGTCAGTGAAAAGTTCTACTGCTAATGTTGTTCAGTGAAGAGAGAATGTGCTCATTGTTTCTGTCAATATAATGTTACTCTTGTTGGACGATTACGATTCTGTTTTGAGACGAATGTGAAGAACTGTGAAAAGCTAACTAACAAACAGATGTTTTCTGATGTGTGTGTGTGTGTGTGTGTGTGTGTGTGTGTGTGTGTGTGTGTGTGTGTGTGTGTGTGTTTGTGTGTGTGTGTGTGTGTGTGTGTGTGTGTGTGTGTGTGTGTGTGTGTGTGTGTGTGTGTGTGTGTGTGTGTGTGTGTGTGTGTGTGTGTGTGTGTGTGTGTGTGTACGTGTCTGTGATGTGTGCATGTGTGTATATGCATGTGTGTGTGTGTGCAGGCATGGAGGAGGATTTCTCCTGGCTTCGGCGGAGGAAAAAGCGAGCTGTAAGTGTGTGAGTGGGCTGCAGCTGATGCTGGAAGCGCTCCACAGAATCACACACACACTGTCACCAACACAAACATCCACACAGCCTATAATAATCATACAGATGCACAAGGTCAAAACTACCAGAGCGGTTTTAAATGCATGTGTTAAAAACATTCAGTATAATTAATAACTTTTTTTTATTTAGTTTTTGTCTTTTTTTTATTTGTATTTTGTCTTTGTTTAGTTTATTATTTTATCTTGTTTTTATTTATTTTTCTGTTTTACTTTTGTTTCTTTCTCTTGTTTTTTGTTTTGTCTTTTTTGTAGTTTTGTTTGGTTTTGTCTTTTCTTGTTTTTTTTTGGTTTGTTTTTTTTTGTCTTTTTTTCTTTATTTTATTTAGTTAATTGTTTGCCTTTTTTATTTTTTGTTTTGTTTTTGTCTTTGTCTTTTTTGTTTTGTTGTTTGTTTTTTGTTTCTTTGGATTTTCTGTCTTTGTTTTGTTTAGTTTTTGTCCTGTTTTTTTTTCTTTTTATTTTGTAAATAGTTAAATTTTTTAACTTTTTTTGTTTAGTTTTGTCTTCTGTTTTCGTATTTGTTTTGTCTTTTTTTTTTTTTTTGGTTGTTTGGATTTTATCTTATATTTTTTATTTATTTATTATTTTTTGTGTGTGTTTAGTTTTATTTGGTAAATTGTTTGCCCTTTTTTAGCTTTTTTGTTTTGATTGGTCTATTTATTTTATATTAGTTTATTTTTGGATTTCGGTGACGCAGTGGCGCAGTAGTTAGTGCTGTCGCCTCACAGCAATAAGGTCGCTGGTTCGAGCCTCAGCTTGGTCAGTTGGCATTTCTGTGTGGAGTTTGCATTCTCCCTGCATTTGCATGGGTTTCATCCAGGTGCTCCGGCTTCCCCCACAAGTCCACAGACATGCGGGACAGGTGAATTGAGTAAGCTAAATTGTCCGTAGTTGCAGCTGGTAGGGCATCCGCTGTGTAAAATGTGCTGGATAAGATGGCGGTTCATTCCGCTGTGGCGAGCCCGGATTATTAAAGCGACTGACCCGAAAAGAAAATGTATTAATGAATGAATAATATCATTAAATTCAGGGATGAAAACTCCTGCAGAGTTTAGCTCCAACCTTAATTAAACACACTGGTTTATAACTTTCTAATGATCTTGAAGACATTAATTAGCATGTTCAGTTGTTTTTGGTTAGTTTTTTAGTAAAACTCTGCGGGACATTAGTCCTCCAGGACCAAGTTTGCCCATCCCTGATTTAGATATGTGGCGTTTTGGTGACTTTAAATACAAATGAGATTGTGCGCTATTCAAAAGAGGGTGGAGCTACAGATGCCTGTGTGTCAGCATAGTGGCAGATTCAAAAACAAGACTAACGTCCTGTGCTAATGATGGAGAGATGGGCACTAGTGGGCAGGGATTTACCCCGATGATGACATCATACAAAGGGAGAATGTCAATCAAAGTGTTTCTGCAGTATTTCTGTTTTTTGTCAAGTCTGATTATTAAACAATTAAATGGATGAATTGACTGTTAAAAGCTGGATATTTTCACAGACTGCTGCTCTACTACTGGGTTTAAACCCATTATAAATGTGATTTTTGCATAAGAGGGGTCCTTTAAAAATACTCCCATACCAAACAACTATTAGAAAATTGTATAACATATTTTATATAACTTATGTATAAGTATAATAATAGAACTGCTTGTTTCTTAAGTATGGTGAGGATAAAAACAATTGACAAATACCACACTCTTAAACTGCAGGTTGTCTAGTTTCCCACAGACTGAAGAATGCTTGATTTTAGTGTCCATTTTTTGAGGCCATAAATTAAATTAATGTGTTTTGAAGTCTGTAAGCTGGGATCCAGCCAAAAAGTTTGATCGCAGACAAGCCACATTTCTATAAAAGCAGCTCATTGTGAGTTTTGTTGAAATGTGAAAGCAATGAGGATGATGGTTTGTGCTCATGAACATCCTTCATTCAGTTTTGTTTGTTTTTTTCTTCCAGATACCGAGGAACGTGTTTGAGGAGATGAAGTACATTGAGTTGATGATTGTCATTGACCACAACATGGTGTGTTTAAATGCTGTTTGACTCTAATGTCCACTAGAGGGCTCTCTCGTAACTAATTCTGAATGTCTGAAAAAATACTGTAGTGTTTTTGAAGCATACTGTTGCTACAGTAACACAACCACCCTGCTGAAAAATCCAGCTTAAACCAGCTTAGGCTGGTTGGCTGGTTTTAGCTGCTCGACCAGGCTGATTTTAGAGGGGTTTTGGCCATTTCCAGGCTGGTTTCCAGCCATTTCCAGCCTGGTCTTAGCTGGTCAGGCTGAAAAATTACCAGCCAAATCCAGCTAAAACCAGCTTGACCAGCCTGGTTTAAGCTGGATATAGTTGGTTTTGGTTGGACTCCCAGCTTGGCTAGGCTGGTCAAGCTGGTTTAAGCTGGTCATCTCCCAGCCTGACCAGCTAAGACCAGGCTGGAAATGGCTGGAAACCAGCCTGGAAGTGGCCAAAACCCCTCTAAAACCAGCCTGGTCGACTAGCTAAAACCAGCCAACCAGCTTAGGCTGGTTTAAGCTGGATTTTTCAGCAGGGCACTATACCAATGTAAACAAATGAGCCAATACTGTAGTTTTCTTTAACGATAGGGTGTATTATACCCTCACCACAGTTTACTGTAGTAAAAACTAGAGTATACTACATAATTTTTTACAGTTTACTATATTTATTGCTACAGTATGCTTTATGAACAGTTTATGGAAAATCCAGTTGAAAACCTTGAAATATACTCGTAATTCTGGAAAGGGGAATATACAGCACACTTTACTGCAGGATGGTTCAAAAACATCTCAGTGTTCACTATAAACTACTACAGCATTTTATGTTCATGTTGGGTGTTAATTGTAAAAATGCTGAATGTCTGTTTGATATTTCAATGTTCATAAATATTTTCCCCCAGTTTAAGAGACTGAAGACCAAGCAGCACACACGCAACAATGCCAAATCTGTGGTCAACCTGGTGGATGCTGTGAGTATGAGCAGCTGTTATGCTGTTAAAATAACTGTTCGTGATCACCCCTTAGTGAATAACATAAACAAAAAATGATGGGTTCTTTTTCAGTTGCGTGTGCTTGTAAATGCTTAAATTATACATAACACATTTCAACCAGAAAGAGAAAAAACTATTTATGCAATCTACGTTTTTCTGCTATCGGCATTTAGAGAAGAGAAGTTGTGATAGAAATGGCATTTCAAATTTAATTAAAGCTGCAAGCAGCGATGATAGGGACCTCGCACCCGGGCTCACCGCCGCCCGGTGGCCTCAGGATGACAGAGAACAGCGAACAACATTAATTTAAGCCGATATATATAAATAACCAGAGAAAATCACAGATTTATGCCGAACTTCCTCCTGTCAGCAGGTGGCGCTATAATTGTGACTAAAGATTTTTATGTAGATGCCTTCAGTAGAAGAGTCTTATCAACCGTGTGATTTTTCAGGCAGATCGGACATTGTGTGGCTGAGTTATAAGCCAAACTACCTTCTGCCAGCAGGTGGCGCTATGACTGACTCAATTATGTTATGTGGATGTGTTCAGGAGAGGAATTTAATCAACCATTTGAAGTTTCAGGCAGATCAGACATTGTGTGGCTGAGTTATAAGCCAAACTACATTCTGCCAGCAGGTGGCACTATGACAGATTCAATATTGGCTTTTAAATGTCTTCAGAAGAGGAATTTAATCAACCATGTGTAGTTTCAGGCAGATCAGACATTGTGTGGTTAAGTTATAAGGTAAAATTCCTTCTGTCAGCAGGTGGCGCTATGACTGTGACTCAATATAGGTATGGGGATATGTTCAAGAGAAGAATTTAATCAACCATGTGAAGTTTCAGGCAGATCGGACATTGTGTGGTTGAGGTATAAGGCATTCCTGTTCTATGGCGAAGCGTTGAGGTTTGTCATGCCACCACATACACGCCCCTCCGCAAAAACTCTAGATCTTCACAATATATATCATCGCTTGAGCTTTCAGATAACAACCAACCAAATTTAGTGCTGATACGAAAAAAATTTGTGGGAGGAGTTTATTACTCTGTAAATCATGTAATTTCCTGTGGCCAGCAGGTGGCGCTATAGCTGTATCTGGATATTGGCATGTAAATGTGTTCTGGTCTAGACTCTTATTAAACGTGTGAATTTTGAGGCAGATCTGATAATGCATGCCTGACTTATAATGACGTCCGGTTTTGTGGCGAATCATCAAAGTTTGCGTGGCCGCCACGGACACGCCCATCGACAAAAACTCTAAAGCTTCGCAATTTAACATCGCCAAGGCCTTTAGATGATAAAACCCAATTTTGGTGTTGATCGGATAAAATCCCTAGGAGGAGTTCGTTAAAATACAACACCTGGAAATGGCAAAAAAGCCACTTTTTCGCCACAGGAAGTTAAAAATATTCGACTTCCTGTTGGGTTTGAGATATGGTTCCAAGAGACTTTTTCGTATGTTTTGCCATGTTTGAGGTGTGTGCCAATTTTTGTGCATGTGCATGATTCGTAGATCGGGGGCTCGTCCGTTTAATTTTTCTAGGTGGCGCTGTCGAGTCATTTTGCCACGCCCACTTCAATATTGTTATGTGGATGTGTTCAAGAGATGATGTTTATCAACCATGTGAAGTTTCAGGCAGATCGGATATTGTGTGGCTGAGTTATAAGGACTTCCTGTTCCATGGCGAAGTGTTGAGGTTTGTCATACCGCCACGGACACGCCCCTCTGCGAAAACTCTAGATCTTCACAATATAACATCGCTAGAGCTTTCAGATAACACCACTCAATTTTGGTGCTGATACGATAAAATTTGTGGAAGGAGTTTATAACTCCGTAAATCATGTCATTTCCTGTGGCCAGCAGGTGGCGCTGTAACTGTATCTGGATATTGGCAAGTAAACGTGTTCAGGTCAGGACGCTTATCAAGCGTGTGATTTTTGAGGCAGATCAGATAATGCATGCCTGAGTTATAACGACTTCCTCTTTTGTGGCGAATCGTCAAAGTTAGCGAGGCCGCCACGGACACGCCCATCGATGAAAACTCTAAAGCTTCGCAATTTAACATCGCCAAGGTCTTTAGATGACAAAACCCAATTTTGGTGTCGATCCGATAAAATCCCTAGGAGGAGTTCGTTAAAATACAACGCTTGGAAATGGCAAAAACGCCACTTTTTCGCCGCAGGAAGTTAAAAATATCCGACTTCCTGTTGGGTTTGAGATATGGCTCCAAGAGACTTTTTCGTATGTTTTGGCATGTTTGAGGTGTGTGCCAATTTTCGTGCATGTGCGTGATTCGTGGATCGGGGGCTCGTCCGTTTAATTTTTCTAGGTGGCGCTGTCGAGTCATTTTGCCACGCCCACTTCCGAAGCCCATAACAAACGTAAATTTTCGCCACTTCTGAGGCGTGTGCAAAGTTGCGTGAGTTTTCGGGCATGTTTAGCCCCTCAAAACCGCGATTCATTTCGCAGGAGAATAATAATAATAATAATTAAAGCTGCAAGCAGCGATGATAGGGACCTCGCACCCGGGCTCACCGCCGCCCGGTGACCTTACGATGACAGAGAACAGCGAACAATAATAATTTAAGCCAATATATAAAAAAGATCTAAGGAAATTACAGATTTATGCCAAACTTCCTCCTGTCAGCAGGTGGCGCTATAACTGTGACTTAAGATTGGCATGTAGATGTCTTCCGGAGAGGAACCTTATCAACCATGTGAAGTTTCAGGCACATGGGACATTGTGTGGCTGAGTTATAAGCCAAACTACCTTCTGCCAGCAGGTGGAGTTATGACTGACTCAATATTGTTATGTGGATGTGTTCAGGAGCGGACTTTTATCAACCATGTGAAGTTTCAGGCAGATCAGAGATTGTGTGGAGATTGTGTTTTAAGACAAACTACATTCTGCCAGCAGGTGGCGCTATGAAAGACTCAATATTATTATGTAGATGTGTTTAGGAGAGGACTTTCATCAACCATGTGACATTTTATGCAGATCTGACATTGTGTGACCGAGTTACAAGCCAAAATTTCTTCTGCCAGCAGGTGGCGCTATGACTCTGTCTCAATAATATTATGTAAATGTGCTCAAGAGAGGACTTTCATCAACCATGTGAAGTTTCAGGCAGATCGGACATTGTGTGGCCGAGTTACAAGCAAAACTACCTTCTGCCAGCAGGTGGCGCTATGACTATGACTCAATAGTATAATGTAGATGTGCTCAGAAGAGGACTTATATCAACCATGTGAAGTTTCAGGCAGATCGGACACTGTGTGGCCGAGTTACAAGCCAAACTACCTTCTGCCAGCAGGTGGCGCTATGACTGACTCAATATTATAATGTAGATGTGCTCAGAAGAGGACTTTTATCAATCATGTGAAGTTTCAGGCAGATCAGACATTGTGTGGTTGAGTTATAAGAAATTCCTGTTCCATGGCGAAGCGTTGAGGTTTGTCATGCCACCACAGACACGCCCCTTTGCAAAAACTCTAGATCTTCACAATATATCATCACTAGAGCTTTCAGATGACACCACTCTATTTTGGTGCTGATACGGGAAAGTTTGTGGAAGGAGTTTGTTACAGTGTCAAACATGTCATTTCCTGTGGCCAGCAGGTGGCGCTATAACTGTAACTGGATATCGGCACGTAAACCTGTTCAAGTCAGGACTGTTATTAAATGTGTGAATTTTAAGGCAGATCGAATATTGCATGCCAGAGTTATAAAGACTTCCTGTTTTGTGGCGAATCAAAGTTTGCGAGGCCGCCACGGACACGCCCATCGATGAAAACTCTAAAGCTTCGCAATTTAACATCACCAAGGCTTTAAGATGACAAAACCCAATTTTGGTGTTTATCAGATAAAATCCCTAGGAGGAGTTCGTTAAAATACAACACCTGAAAATGGCAAAAGCGCCACTTTTTCGCCATAGGAAGTTAAAAATATCCGACTTCCTGTTGGGTTTGAGATATGGCTCCAAGAGACTTTTTCGTATGTTTTGCCATGTTTGAGGTGTGTGCCAATTTTTGTGCATGTGCGTGATTCGTAGATCGAGGGCTCGTCCGTTTAATTTTTCTAGGTGGCGCTGTCGAGTCATTTTGCCACGCCCACTTCAATATTGTTATGAAGATGTGTTCAGGAGAGGACTTTTATCAACCATGTGAAGTTTCAGGCAGATCGGACATTGTGTGGTTGAGTTATAAGGACTTCCTGTTCCATGGCGAAGCGTTGAGGTTTGTCATACCGCCACGGACACGCCCCTCCGCAAAAACTCTAGATCTCTACAATATATCATCGCTAGAGCTTTCAGATGACACCACTCAATTTTGGTGTTGATACGATAAAATTTGTGGGAGGAGTTTGTTACTCCGTAAATCATGTCATTTCCTGTGGCCAGCAGGTGGCGCTGTAACTGTATCTGGATATTGGCATGTAAACGTGTTCAGGTCAGGACGCTTATCAAGCGTGTGGATTTTGAGGCAGATCGGGTAATGCATGCCTGAGTTATAACGACTTCCTCTTTTGTGGCGAATCGTCAAAGTTTGCGAGGCCGCTACGGACACGCCCATCGACGAAAACTCTAAAGCTTCGCAATTTAACATCGCCAAGGCCTTTAGATGACAAAACCCAATTTTGGTGTCGATCGGATAAAATCCCTAGGAGGAGTTCGTTAAAATACAACGCCTGGAAATGGCAAAAACGCCACTTTTTCGCCGCAGGAAGTTAAAAATATCCGACTTCCTGTTGGGTTTGAGATATGGCTCCAAGAGACTTTTTCGTATGTTTTGGCATGTTTGAGGTGTGTGCCAATTTTCATGCATGTGCGTGATTCGTATATCGGGGGCTCGTCCGTTTAATTTTTCTAGGTGGCGCTGTCGAGTCATTTTGCCACGCCCACTTCCGAAGCCCATAACAAACGTAAATTTTCGCCACTTCTGAGGCGTGTGCAAAGTTTCGTGAGTTTTCGGGCATGTTTAGCCCCTCAAAACCGCGATTCATTCCGCGGAAGAAGAAGAAGAAGAAGAAGAAGAAGAAGAAGAATAATAAACAGAGCAATTCCAATAGGGCCTACGCACCGTTTCGGTGCTCGGTCCCTAATAATAAACGGAGCAATTCCAATAGGGCCTACGCACCGTTTCGGTGCTCGGTCCCTAATAATAATAATAATAATAATAATAATAATAATAAAAAACGGAGCAATTCCAATAGGGCCTACGCACCGTTTCGGTGCTCGGTCCCTAATAAACGGAGCAATTCCAATAGGGCCTTGCACCG